TTTGATAGGGGTGGACGGTGCGTTGCACCCCTCGCCAACTTGGAGCCTGTAGGCTGAACCTGCTAATGCTGCCCTGGCGGCTCGGACAGGACCGCCCGGCGGGGGGGGCGCCTGGAGCGGGCGACCGGCATCGTCGCGGGCGGCCCAGCGTTGCCAGGTCCCGACGCCGTCGCGGGGGCCCTCGGGGAGGCTAGCGTCCGCCGTCCGCTCCTCCTTCTGTTCCCCGCTCCTGCTACCGCTCCTGCTCATGCTCCTGATCCTTCTCCTACTCCGTCCTCCTCCTCTTCTTCCTTCTCCTCTTCTTCTTCTTCCTCCTCCTCCTCCACCTCCTCCTCCTACTCCTCTTCAACCTCCTCCTCATCCTCCTCCACCTCCTCCTCCTCCTCCTCCTCCAACTCCTCCTCCTCCCTCCTCCTCCTCCTCCTCCCTCCTCCTCCTCCTCCTCCTCCTCCTCCTCCTCCTCCTCCTCCTCCTTCCTCTCCTCCTCCTCCTCCCTCCCTCTTTCTCTTCCGTCTCTCTTCAACATCCTCCACTTATGTTTGTTTCCTCGTCCTATTCCCCTCCTCCTTCCCCCTCCTCCCTCCTCTACTCCTCCTCTCCTCCAACTCCCGCACCTCCCTCCTCCTCCTCCTCCTCCTCCTCCTCCTCCTCCTCCTCCTCAGGCGTTCGGGCGCAAAGGCGGTCTGTTCCGCCTCCTCCTCCTCATCCTCCTCCTCGTCATCATCATCATCCGTCCTCCTCCTCGTCCTCCTCCTCCTCCTTTTCTTGCTCCTCCTCCTCCCTCCTTTTCCCTCCTCCTTCTTCCCTACTTCCTCCCCCACCGCCTGACCCTCTAACTCTTGTCTTCCCTTCTTCTCATTGTCCACCCCCGTTGCCTACGAAAATATCCTCACCGTCGCACCACCAAACGTGTCGGTACTTCGCGACTCCGACAGGCCGGCCACCATGTAATTGTTACCGTTCGGCGGGTGGGCCCGGGCACAAAGTGAGCAACTCTTTTTCCACACAGCAGGGACATGATTCGGACGAAAGCCTCGAAACGTTTTGGCCAGAGGTTAAAGTTCGCACGCTCTCTCACTCCTCCCAGGGAGGGAGGGCGGGAGCCGAAGACAGGCTCTGGAGAGAGGGGGGGATGGGGCAGACAAAGAGGGGAGAGCGGGGTTCCGATGTTTAAAATCCTGGATCGTCTAGGGGGTCTGAATGTGGCTATACATCACCGAAGTACAAAAGCCCAAGCTCAAACCGTTCAAGAACATATAGAGCAACTCTTTTTCCATGCAGCAAGGACACGATTCTGACGAAAGCCCCGAAACGTCTTGGCAAGAGGTTAAAGTTTGCACGCTCTCTCACTCCTCCGCGAGTTTCCCAAATTCGGGAGTTCACTAGGGCTGGGAAGGGTGGAGGCACTTGTTGTACCCGAGCGCAGCAATACTGGAGGCCGTGAGGGCCCGCATTATACAGTGTGCGAGCTTCGGCGGGCAAGCGGCAGCTGGACGAGTACGGGAGCTTCCGTCAAGCTGGACATGCGGAAGTCCCGTGAGCGAGCATCTCCCTTTATGGCCACATCATCTCCGACAGAAGTCTCTGAGACCATCCTCCACTACATGGCAAAGCATCAGTCTAGTTGGCTTCTTACATGGGGCTCCGACTTGACATTGATCTAGTTCTACAAGGCTGACCCCAGGAAGGGAGGCCAGGGCTTGGATTTCGCGAGTGTGCCACAACCGAGAAGTGAGCGGGTGCTCGACAAACGCAGGGATCTTGAGCTGCTGAAAGAGGGTAAAGAGGCCTATGGCAGCCCTGGCGATACGATTGCCTGCGCGGACCTTCTCTGCATCTGGTCCGCTCAGCAGAGGCCTGGGCAAACCCCAAGGCCTCTCTTGAGAGCGAATCTTCAAGGTGCGATCGCGTGCGATCGAGAACGTCTGGCACGAGGGGGCCAGAGCTGCTGCCAGGATGCGGCCGCACCGAGCCCCGCGTCGGATCGAGGCAAGGGATCGAGGGGCAGTGAGGTCTTGCCAAATTGCGTCATGAGCCTTGTCAAAAACACGGCATCTGAAGCCGAGCGCCTCGCCGGCTCTCGAGATACACCTGCTGCCGGCGAAGAGATCAGCTATGTAACGCCCTTTTAAGACAAAACGTTGAGAAGCGAGGCTCTTGCTCCTACAGCCACGGTACGTGCGCCTCAGCTTGCCCACAGGGTCGGTGCGCCGGATGATAAGGCGCATTCCAAACGCGCCAGTTCTTTGCGAAAGTGCGCCAGTTCCCAGGCTGCCGCGCCTTTTCGCAAATAGCCGCGCCTTTTCTCGCATTGCGCCACGCACGTACCAAACGCATGATGATACACGTTTACGCGCATGTTGACGTATGCTGATGTTGCTTACATGCAAGCCTTATAGCTTTAATACATATGCATGTGCATACATCGTGATTATATATACATAGTATGTACAAATTCACACATACAAGTTATCTGAATATATATATATATATATATATATATATATATATATATATATATATATTACATATATACATATACATGTATATATATAACAACCACCCATACATGCACACCAACACAGACACCTATATCTAACTATATGTATACATGTTGTTGCGCATGCGTCTTTCTCAAAACAATGTTTTATGCGCGCTCGATCCATATCTGACATCGCATACTTCTTCGGGGAAGCAGCAAGTTTTGCGACGTTTGCGCGTCCGCGAGGGAGGCTGGCAATTGGCTCGAAGCGTGTGTTTTCAAATTTGGATGGTGGGGGCGGCGGCGTTGTTTTTCGTCGCTCCAATCGCCGCGCTGCATTGAGGGTGTTCTGTATGTGTATGTATGTATATATAAATATGCATCAATAAACAAACAAATCAAACCAACACAAATAACAAAATTATCCTGGCGAAGGACCCAACCATATGCAGTTGTGAGTATCGCAATTGTGAATATCTTCTTCGGTGGCGCTCCCTATGGGGCCACGAACCGCATGAGGGGTGTGCCGAAATGTGGCGGGGTACACAACGCAAAGGAATACGATAGATCTGATTACGAGAGAAAGAACGCGGGTGAGTCAGAGCGCGAGGGAATCTGAGTATGAATGGGTCTGCGCGCGAGTGAATATATTTGCATGAATGCGATCATGGAACCGCCTAGTGTAAGTGTCGAGCATGCCTGTCCGAACACACGTGACACTGGGCGTGGCCGCCGCAGGCAGCTTCCGCGGGAACCCCGACGGCAGCGTCCGCACGTCGCGACGCCCATGTCGGCACGCCTCTTGCGAGGATCGCGCCCGCTTTCGGCTCTTCTTTTCCTTCCTCTTTGCCCGCGCACTCCAAAATCCAAGGCTGCGGGCGCAGCGCAGCGCGGAGTCCCCGCGACGCGCGCTGGTCGCCCCGGGCGGGGTCCCAGCGACGCGCGCGGGTCGTCCGCTGCGCGAAGCAGAGAGAGCTGACTAGCTAACTGGCTGGCTGATAGCGGGCAAGTCTCTGACCGCTGGGCAGAGCGACGACGGGCGAACGAGGCGCCGGGCCCCCCGCAGCACGGAGTTCCCGCGACGCGCGCTGGTCGCCCCGAGAGGGTCCCAGCGACGCGCGCGGGTCGTCCGCGGCGCGAGGCCAAACAATTAGTCGGGCAGTCGAGAGAAGGCGCGGCTCGGGGGAGACGCTCCTCAGGTCAGGCCTCGCGGATGAACTCGGTGAAGCCGAGCTCCCTGGCGAGGGCCGTCGCTTCCCTCCTGCACCGCTTCGTGCGCGCCGCAAACTGCTCCAGCTGCTTCCGCAAGCCCTGCGGCGGCCCTGCCAGGAAGAACTCGATGCGCGGCGCCCGCATGAGCAGGAGGTCCTCGTGGCGCGTGGCGCGCGAGAGCAGCGCGTAGAGCTCCAGCCACCAGTCGTCGTCCTCCTTCTTGCCGTTCCCTACCTCGTGGCGGCCGCAATCCAGGATCACGCCTGGGCGACGTCGACCGAGGGGGCAGCGCGCCGGGCAGCCGACGGCCCAGGGCGAGAGTCCACAGGACCGAGAGATGGTCTGGCCGCGGACTGCTCGCGCCCCGGAGGTCTGGCCGCCCCCGGAGCGCCGTTCCCCCGCCCCGTCGCCTTCGCGCAGGTGCGCCCCTGGCACGCCACCGTGGTGATGACCCTGCCGTGCGAGAAATGCGGGGGGTGTGCCGAAATGGGTGGGGGTGACGCATGCGGGCGCGGCGCTGGGCCTTCGGTGGAGCTCCCTATGGAGCCACGAAACGTGTGAGGGGTGTGCCGAAATGGGTGTGGGTGACGCATGCGGGCGCGGGCACTGGGGCCTTCGGTGGAGCTCCCTATGGAGCCACGAAAGCGTGTGAGGGGTGTGCCGAAATGGGTGTGGGTGACGCATGCGGCCGCGGGCACTGGGGCCTTCGGTGGAGCTCCCTATGGAGCCACGAAACGTGTGAGGGGTGTGCCGAAATGGGTGTGGGGGACGCATGCGGCCGCGGGCACTGGGGCCTTCGGTGGAGCTCCCTATGGAGCCACGAAACGTGTGAGGGGTGTGCCGAAATGGGTGTGGGGACGCATGCGGCCGCGGGCACTGGGGCCTTCGGTGGAGCTCCCTATGGAGCCACGAAACGTGTGAGGGGTGTGCCGAAATGGGTGTGGGGGACGCATGCGGCCGCGGGCACTGGGGCCTTCGGTGGAGCTCCCTATGGAGCCACGAAACGTGTGAGGGGTGTGCCGAAATGGGTGTGGGGGACGCATGAGCGGGCGCGGGCACTGGGGCCTTCGGTGGAGCTCCCTATGGAGCCACGAAACGTGTGAGGGGTGTGCCGAAATGGGTGTGGGGGACGGGCACTGGGCCTTCGGTGGAGCTCCCTATGAGCCACGAAACGTGTGAGGGGTGTGCCGAAATGGGTGTGGGGACGCATGCGGCCGCGGGCACTGGGGCCTTCGGTGGAGCTCCCTATGGAGCCACGAAACGTGTGAGGGGTGTGCCGAAATGGGTGTGGGGGACGCATGCGGCC